AAGAGATGGGCCGTGAGAGAGAGGTGGGTGCTCTGCAGATCCCACAACCCCCTGTACTCAAGGATCTATGCATTTTGCATCCCTCACCAGCGAACCTCAAACTGTGCTTTTCTTTTGCACACCCACTTGCTAGCACAGAATAGTATCATATACAATTCGTTAATTCTGTACAATGACTATATGCTGTGAGTAGACTTTAGAGTTCATGAACAAAGAACTTCAGAGATCTAAATGCCTCTGAGAGTCTTAAGAGAGGACTTACACTGCACTGTTCACAGGTAAGGAACGAGAGCACAAGCAACCCTCCTCCTGGATCAGTAATTCACCATCCCCAGAATGCCAGCATTGTCGTTTTTACCCCAGGGTTGACTTCTGCACTGGGCTTTAGTCAGAGCTCTTCTCAGCTCTCAATGTCCTTTAAATCTTGCTACTGATTGATTTGCTCTTTTATTATGAGGTGTGTTTATGTTTGAGTGTTGTGTGCAAGTTCACGAACAAGGAAAAAACATCCAACAGTGTACATATATTATCTACTTCCCACCTCTTCCCTTTCAAAAGGAAACTACTCTGTGCACAATTAGGGCACAACTCAGTTCCGAACAGTGTGCAATACCACGGTTTGGTGCCTGCCAGACTATATGCTGGGCTTAGAGCCAACCACCCTTACATACACCGGTGTCTTCCCCGGGCCAGGGGAATAGCAGAAACTCACATTCACTCCAATCGGTCAGACAGGAGAGTCGGGACTTTTAATAAAAGGTGTCCTCACCTCTTTGTAGTGTGCACACTGACCATCTCTCCTGCCAATGGGGAAGCCCCACACTTTCTGGAGGACCCTGCTTGCAGCGCCGAAATTGTTACAGACAAAAAGTTCTGGATCCTGCAATGACGTTTAAACAACGGAGTTTATTGCACGCAAGGAAGCTTAACAAAACATGATGACGAACTTCAGCAAACTCCTAAACTGCATCGTTACATAACCAATAGGCCAGAAAAACATGACCGCAAAACGAAAAACAAAGAAAAATAAATAACATATCCCAACGTTACCAGTAATATAAAACACCTGCGAGAGGCCAACCTAACGTGTCTGCCTCGCCTGGAAACAAACAGAGTTTCGCTCGCAGGGTTAGCTTTTAAAGCTAAAACCTGAAAAAATCGTGGTCTTAATGGTGGAAATCTGTCATTCATTGTATCTTCAGGCATTCAGAGCCACTTCCGATGCTGTGATTCAGCCCTCTGCAAGTGCTGTGGTTTTTCCACACACGGGCGGTGACTGGATGGCAGCTACATCACTCTCACCCCAGAGAATCAGTGACGGGTTTGACCACACCAACATGGCAGCCCCACAATGTCACAGAGAGGCGGAAGTCTCTGCAATAGGAAGTGTTGTCTGTGGCCTGTGCATTTGCGGTTCACTTGCATTTCAGGACGCCAGTTGGAAGGTGTTTTTTGATCTCTCAGTGCCTCCTGAAGAAAAATAATCCCTAAATCTTGTATCTCTACAGGTAGTGACCTTAGAAATCACTGAAAAGACATAGAAAAGTAAGAAGAAACCTCCCCTTTCTTAGTGCTACATGGGATCTTTTAGATGTAAAGAAGTGCCACCCAGCCTAAGGAACATTAAATTACCATAACTGCTCCTAATTCACATTTAAGCAATATATTTACTCTATCCTTTAGATCAGTGGTTCTCAAACTTTTTGGACCAAGTACCACCCCTAATCCAACCGAAGCATCCAAGTACCACCTACAAGTCATCTTCTCATAGGAACCCCAGAAAGTCTCAATGACCAACATGAGCGCGCATGCTCACACTCACACATACATATAATAAATATTATAATAATAAACTTAATTTGATATAGCACCTTTAAAGGTGGCTTCTCAAAGTGTTTTATGGAAAAAAAAACATTGACAACAAATAATAAAAAAGCACCATTTCAGTGAGAGGGGTGAGCCTGTTTAGTTGAGCAAAGCAGATGTGAATTAATTTTTCGAGCCTTGATACAATTCACAACGGAGTCTAACAGATATTAAATCGTCAGGCATTTTCTTGACGGCAAAGATCTCGCGGTGGATGTTGTAATGCGTACATTAATTTCTGGAGTAACCTATCTAATTCGTGCAACTACACCGTTATGTCGGCTTGTCATTGCTCTAGCACCGTCAAACTCCGACGCATTTTATCCAGTCAAGGCCATTCTCTTCGATAAATTCATTCAGAAGCTGAAATATGTGCTCTCCTGTAGTTCCTGTTGGTAGCGGTTTACAGAACAGAAAGTCTTTATGGGTCATGCCCTCAAACTCGTATCTAACGTAAACGAGCAACTTGGCCAAATCGACTACAGACTCATCTTATTGCAGTGAAAAACATCTGCTCACCTTAACGCGCTCTATCAGTGTACTTTTGATATAATCCTTCATTTCAATAATTCTATGAATGACTGTGTCTTTCAGGGGGAGAATGAACAAGCTCCACAAAGACAGCCCCCGGAAATCAAGCCCAGGGCTCCAGCACTGCCAGGCAGCAACGCTCACCCCTGCGCCGCTGTGACAAGCCTAATTCTGGAAATGTAAATTGTTTAATCTAAAAGTCACACTAGCCTCCCTGGTTGTGAGTCCTCAATTTCGTAGGATTGAAATGGGGATTGCTAACTTCCTATTAAGGTTTTGATTAAGGTTGCAGCTACTTTATATTGGGATTAACGCTAGAACAGTAGTAGTAGGGGATTTCTGTTGGTGTTAAACAAAGGGCAGAAATCAATATCTAGCTCACCCAAAATGTCCAAGATAAAAAATAAAATAGTGAAGCAACAAAAAGTGCTTTAAGCACAGTGTCAGGTTTTCTTCAGACATCTTTTAAATGGTTCTTAATGTACTCTTAAAACAGAGTAGTTTTTTCACAGCATTTATCAAAGTAACTTCCGGAAAAAGCAGTCATGGCATAATTGTCACGCCCTCTGCAGCCAGAGGGCGCTCCTTCTCTGTCCTGTCCCTAGTTTCCGGTCTGCTGTCCTTCCTGTCCCTCTCTTTCCCTTGGGCTATATATTTCCGGGTCTTGCACTCTGTCTTCGCTCAGCATTGATGTTCGGATGTCCTGAGACCCCGCTTAGCACCAGGGCGCCCCACGTCCGCTCCCTGAGGGCATAGGTTTCTATATGGCATTCCTGAACTCTTTGCACTAATGAGCCCGGGCCTTTTTCCCGTCTCGCCGCTACGCATATGGGTCTTTTTCCGCTCTCCTGCTCCCCACGGTTAGTCCCTTTGGACGTCCGTGACAATAATGTGAGTATAACAGCTAAGAAGTGGACTTTTGTTTGCTTCCAGAATACTGCTTTAGTCCCATAGCAGAACAGCAGGTCCACTGCTGTAACGCGGGTGGTCTGTGCAAAGGAATGTGATCTACAGGCACAATTTAGTCATTTTGCTTGCAACAAGTGGTCTTAGCCAATTGTCTACACATACAAATGCTGCACATGTCGAATCGTGTTGGCCAAGATAAAATTTTATAGATAAAATTGTTTTTGTACAAGCAGTATTAATAAATGAACACAAGGTGTCAGTATATGATTAGGAATTAGAAGATTTCTATTAAACTCAGACTTTCAGTAATTTTAACAGCTACGACATCATGAATTAAAAAATAAGTGGTGTTTTGGACTCTTTTGCAGACAGGAGCAAGGGATTGTGTTTGTTAGAATGAATCAATTAAGAAGTCAAGAGTCAGCTCACAGTTTTTAAATTCAAGCTAAATGTTAGCTTGCACTGTGTTAGGTCATGTGGCACTGACTCTAACTCTATTTCTGAACAGAGTTCCTGCCACAAACCTGAAAAACAGTAGGTGTCAGTGTCAAGAAACCGCTCTCTGCACCACGTTCAGCACCAAAGCTGATCATCACACTGTTTCCCAGTACACCCACTCACCACAACAACTCAGACAGGACAAGCTTCGAAGGGGATTGCAAGTTTTGTAAGGAGACAACTCTTTTCAACATAGTGATGAAAATCAAAGACACATATGAGTAATACTGCATGACCTGTTTTGGATTTATCTAAAAATTAGTGCTGTTGGAGTAGCCTTGTAACCATAAGAGTAGTTAAAGTGAAAGGTTGATGGTGTTCCTGCCAGTAGGGAGCAGAAGGGTGGGACGGGCGTCGGTGACCACAGTCACAGAGGAGGGCGTGCACTGCATCAGCATATCTGTTCAAGTGGCTTAGCACCAAAAAAGATTAATCATGAGGACAAAAATGTAAAACAAGTTGCAATTTGTGAGTTGTGTAGCTGTGCTCCTAAAAGTATAATAAGGGACACCCAAACTAGAGCCACAGTCAGGGATGATTCAAGAGCCAAGCCACTACAGAGTGGTGCAGACGGGGGCAATAGAACCCCAAGGGTGAACCCTTTCCCCAGATTCGAGGAACTGGTGTCCTGCATGTTCTAGGTGCGAGATTACCGATATAAATGGTGTTGTCTCACACAGAAATACATAGTGAAGTAATGACTATATAAAAAACGTATTGAAGACGTTTGAGTAGGGAGCTGGCTGCAAAGGAACGGGTAAAGATCCATTCCCTGGTAAAAGGTAAAGAAATGAAAAGAAACACTACGTTATGGCTGTCTACAACTGAAACGTAGTGTTTCTTTTCTTTAGCGTTTAGCAGGAAATGAACCATTATCTGTTCCAATCAAAAATGTATTGCTTTGATCACCAGTATTCTTAATACAGCATGATTCATCATTTATATATTTGTGTGAGGGAATGTATGTATCTGGACAATCAATACGGTTGCTGTATTTATACGTTAAAATTAAAATCTTTCTTCTGACCATTCTGAGTTTTGCGGTGGACAGGATGATGTGTCACCATGGAAACTCACGTGGCGTCTACCTCAGAGGATGCTGGTCTGAAATAAAATGCAGAGATAAAACCCATGGGAAAGTAACCAATCACTTGCAAGGGCTGTGGCTGTGAGCCAATCGGAAGCTGGAGGGTGGGGTTCCCCGCGCACTGGGATTCGCAGCGCGCAGAGGCAGCGGGAGAGCAGAAAGGAGCTTCGCCGGAGACGGGCGGAACAGAGCGCCGAGCAGTAGCCAGAGACCCCGGGTGAGTGCGACCTGGCCGGTAGGACTGAGCTGTGGGCAGAGGGGAAGGGGCTGCTGTAAAGGCAGAACAAATGTATGTAGGAAACATGAAGAGGGTCGCTTGGACCATCTCCTACACTTTAACTGTAGTGTTCAGAGAATCGAATCGGGAGAAAAACTCTTTTATTAGAGCGAAGTTCAAAAACTTTGATTAAATTGGAACAATTTATTCGGTAGTACTTGTTTCCTCTGAAGTACTTTATCTTCAGTAGAAGAAACTATTCTGCCTAACATCTGAGATTTAGTGATGCGCGTAAACAATCCTTAAACTAAGTTTCACCCCGCCATTATTTAGCTCCGGACTTCAGGTAAGAAATCCCGCTTTAATAAGACGCTGCATGGCGAAGCAGTAAATGTGTTGGTTGGCGATAACCACAGAGAGCTGATGTCCTCCAGTGTTAGAAGGAGCTCCGGTTTCCAGAAAGATCGGACGTCCAGGTCTGCCGGCTATGCTTGTCGTCTTATTGCCATGTTGTAATAGAGGCCTGCGATTGCAATATAAAGAGCTTAACATTAGACTACGGTAAGAAGAGGTACAGTCTCAGCCATTTTAAGCCATAATAAAGCTGTGTGACATGACTTCATTTAGTAACATTAACGAACATG